AGAAACCTGATTGGACAAATGAAATCCTTTAAGATGACAACTCTGTCCCAGGAAGTATACAAGAAAAAAATTTAAAGTATTATATAATGGTAAATATCTTTTATATTAAATGCATATTAATTCTTCACTATTCACTCTCATGTATCAGATAAGATTCTTCCAAATAAATCCAATTTCCAAGAAATGATTTATCATTTTTAAGCAACATTTAATAAAACATTCCGGTACAACCAAACACTTTATATGATTTTAAAATAGTTCTTACATTCCTGTCAATGATGACTTTCTAAAGGATGTTCTGCCTTTTAGAGGGGAATCCATAGATTTTAATACAACTGCACTATGACTGATAACAAATTAATGATTTGTTATTAAAATGAACCTTTATGTTCATTAACAAAGCCATGTTTTCAAAGGCAATCATGGCAACAAGAAGTCAGGTGTGCCAAAAATATCATGAATACTTTGACGAATAAGATAGGTTTCATGAAACAGATGTTATTTTTCCTGTGTTAAAATTGATTTTTTTTTTTTTTGACAGGCAAGTGGACAGAGAGAGAGAGAGACAGAGAGAAAGGTCTTCCTTTTCCGTTGGTTCACCCTCCAATGGCTGCTGCAGCCGGCGCACTGTGCCAATCCGAAGCCAGGAGCCAGGTGCTTCTCCTGGTCTCCCATTCCGGTGCAGGGCCCAAGCACTTGGGCCATCCTCCACTGCACTCCCGGGCCACAGCAGAGAGCTGGACTGGAAGAGGAGTGACCAGGACAGAATCCGGTGCCCCAATCGGGACTAGAACCCGGTGTGCAGGCGCCAATGGTGGAGGATTAGCCTAGTGAGCTGCGGCGCCAGCCAAAATTGCTGTTTCTTGAAAGCTGCTCCTAGCATTGTGCTCTGTACATGGTTAGCAATTATTTGTTTATTTCTGGACAGAACCATGGGAGTATATGATCAGATGACAACCAGCTCCGGTGAGGATGAGAGAACGCCCATGGACACACATCTCAATAGAACACAGAACGGGGGAGCAAGTGCACAACAACAATGGGACAGGATGGGACAAGCAGAGAAGGAAGCCTGGGGCTTACCATCCGGGACTGGACAAGAGGAGTGGCGTGCGAGGACCCCTCCCCCTGCTGTTCTTGGCCGTCAGTGGTTCTGTTCTATCCCTTGGGTTTCCATTCTCAGAATTCCTGTTCTCAGGAATTTCTGCCAGCCTCACCCCCGTAATTTTTCACTTCCAACTATGAAAGATGCGAGATGCAGATGTACCCGGGCATAACAAGTCTCTGTTGCCATTTAGGTGGACATAATTTACCTTCAAAATCCAGAGCTTTGGTGACAGGAGGATCACTCTATTGTTTCATAATTATCTATACTCATCAAATCCCAAATCCCACTGCCTTTCCTAACTTGAGTACCAGTGTCTGAAAATCAAAGAACGGGATCTGACAATGTACTGCTTACACACATGCTATGGATTGATATTCAGCAGGCTATTAAACACCAGTAGTAACAGGAAAAGTGTTGGGACTAGTGACATCACCTGGTGATTCCTAAAGCCTTCCTGATCCAGAAGAGGAGGAGAGTGGGAATGTAAGAAGAATACAGTGTTAGAGTGGAACAGCTGAACACTGGACTGGACCCACCATTTACTACCTGTGCTATACTAAGCCCAGTGGTTTCCTTCTCTATAAAATGGAAGAAACAGCCTATCTCACATGGTTGTTGTGGACATGATTCAAAGGCATTAAGTAAAATGCCATCCAGATATTCACTGATAACATCAATTTGAAAAGCTGTGAACAAATAATTGCAGTGGCCGGACAGTGCTGTGTAGTATTCCACCCACGCTAGCTATGTGACTTGGCCATCAGAGGCGACAGCAGAGGCAGCCGTCGGCCATCGCCACAAGGGTAACAGCTGAGGGCGATGAGAGTGAGCACTCAGAAAGGAAAGAACAGACCCCAGAGTCTACAGGAGCAGATGTATCTACTATTACCGCTAACATTACACTGATCAGATTCAGGGGGAAAACAGATAACTCCGTGGCTGCCTGCTGCCTTCTGTGCACAGTGCAGCTCCGTTGGGCTGGCAGATCCCTGTTGGACATGACAATGCTCAGTCACCTGCAGAGTTGCCAAGCTGAGAGTTCTTCCAAAGAATGCTGTTCTACACAAGGTGGCATCCTGCATCATGGCCTTCATTTTCTTGGTGCAATGTTCAGAATAAAAAGTACATACCAGATCTAAAATAGTCACCCACATTAAGTCTAGTGCTGTCATGTAGTGTGTAAATCCGCAACCTGCAGTGCCGGCATCCCATATGGGTGCCAGTTCGAGTCCCAGCTGCTCCACTTCCAATCCAGCTCTCTGCTGTGGCCTGGGAAAGCAGTGGAGGATGGCCTAAGTCCTTGAGCACCTGAACCCAAATGGGAGACCAGAAGAAGCTCCTGGCTCCTGGCTCCTGGCTTCAGATCAGCGCAGCTCCAGCCATTGTGGCCAGTTGGGGAATGAACCAGCGGATGGAAGACCTCTCTCTCTGCCTCTCTTTCTCTCTCTGTGTAACTGTGACTTTCAAATAAATAAATAAACCTTAAAAAAAAGACTAGTACCTTTCTGTGTGAGTCCTAATTGTCAGATTCATGGGTTTTAAGCCTATGTGTCACACATACTTCTTTGCCTTGGTACAGTTTGCCACCACTAATGTAAATTTGTTACATGGCCAAAAGTAGATACAATGGAAAAAATTTGGAAAAATGACTTCTTTACATAATGGCCACCTCAATTCAAAAAAAAACTGGAAAAACATACATATATATGCAGGCTTTTGTTATCTACTATCTATCAGCTATCTAATCTATATAACTTAGCTTAAAGAGCAAACTTGACTTCTTGTAGAGACACCTGAAAGTCTTAGGAATAGCTATGAATTTCACAGCTAGAAGCCATGATTTAGCTTAACTAAAGGACATCTTTCTGCTGTAACTAGTATTCCAGTCAGTCAATCAATCAACCAAACCAAGAAATAAAACGCCTCAATTGAACCTTTAGGGGATAAAGCTCTTTTTAACGAAGCAGGTGAAAAAAACAAATAGGCAAAACTGAAGATATGAGCTAGGGCTGGTGAATGCTTTCTGGCTTCTCTGGAGTATTTCTAAGACTCCTAGACACCTAACCAGCTGCTGACCAAGTGCCTTGGTTTGTGACTTTCATTGAAACCAACAGAGGAAAACGGGCTTGGCCTTGGAACTTGACAGTTGTCCCCACCCTGCCTTCTTTACCCTCTGTTACTATGCATGCAAAGCAGCTGCCCTCCAATCAGGGCTTCTCAAAGTAGGCCTAGGAGATGCCTTCAGCAGAATCTCCCTCTGTGCTTGTCAAAACTGTGGATTCCTGATCCCCTGCAGATCCCGGGAACCAGAATCTGTGTGGTGAGCCAGAAATCCCCAGTTTTAAACAAGGCCCAGGGGCAAATCTGAGAACTGGTGTTTCTGGTCCTACTGTAGCTTCTCACTTTCTGAAGACCTGTGGGGACCTCCTGGGGGATCTGTGAGTTCACATTCACCCTAAGCAGAGGCAGGAGTCTCCCCTTCCTGCCCCTCCCTTTCCTTTTGGGCTGGAGGGCGGCTGAATTTCACTCTGCTAAGGAGAAGGGGGGTTGCTCTGCAAAGAAAGTGACTGTTGAATAATATCTGGCTATTTGGGGAAAGACTGAGGGAGTAGGAACACAGCAGCAAGAATGGTCTCCATGGCTGAGGGGAACAGAGGCATCTGAGCCTAGCTGAGGTGACTGAATTATTTCTAGTCTCACACACACACACACACACACACACACCCCACTGAGATCAGGCATGTTAATGTATTTTGATAGATCATGGGAACACATACGTATGTATGTTAGAGATACTTTTGAAGACCTGGCATGTTTTGCATAGGGTAACCCCCCTCCATGGGCCTAAATGAAAGAATTTAAAGTTCATGTCTGAAAATTGCAAATAAAGAGGAAAAATCAGCAGCATCTATTAAGAATTTAGGTGCGCTGCCTCTGTGCTAGATAATTCAGTATTTGATCTTCAATTCCTCACCGCCTCTGAAATATTTTTTTTTTCTTTTAAAGACTTATTTATTTGGGCCAGCACTGTGGCATGGCAGATTGGGCTGCCGCCTGCAATGCTAGTATCCCATATGAGTGCTGGTTTCAGTCCCCACTGCTCCACTTGCTTGGGCTCCTGCAACCCACATGGGAGTTCCAGGCTGCTGGCTTCAGCCTGGCCTAGCACTGGCCCCTGTGACCATTTGAGGAGCGAATCATCAGATGGAAGATCAGCTCTCTCTCTCTCCCCCTCTGTCACTGTCCGTTCCAAATAAAGAAAATACTACTAGCAATCATTTTCTTTACGATGAAACCAAAACTACAGACAATGAAATACTTGCTCAGGGGCCAGAGTTGTGGTGCAACGTGTTGGGCTGCTGCCTGAGAGGTTGGCGTCCCATATCCGATGCTCTGCTTCTGATCCTGCTCCCTGCTAATGTTCCTGGGAAGGCAGCGGAAGATGCCACAAGTGCTTTTGCCCCCACCACCCATGTGGATGGAGTTTCTGGCTCCTGGCTTCAGCCTGGCCCCAGACCTGGTTGTTGCAGCCACCTGGGAACTGAACCAATGGATGAATGCTCACTTCCTCTCCTCTCCTCTCCTCTCTCTCTCTCTCTCTCTCTCTCTCTCTGGTGTGTGTGTGTGTGTGTGTCGAGCTGCCTTTCAAATAAATAAATAAATCATTAAAAAAGAAAACAAAATAACAGGCACCCAAATTGGAAAGAAAGACATGAAACGATCACTAATTAAACAAAAAAAAAAAAAAAAAGAGAGAGAGAGAGATTGAGTTGCCCAAAGTCACATAGCAGTTATAAAGAGGGAAAGAGGGAAGCTTTTCTTTTCTTTTTCTTTCTTTCTTTCTTTTTTTTTTTTTTTTTGAATGATTCCTTCTTCCCTCTCACAAACTCACCCCTGGAGTCACCAGAATGAAAATACTTTGTCCGTGGCACATTTTTCAGAGTGAGGAATGCACTGCTGGTTCTTTTCTTTCTCGGCGCTTCTGGAGTGACGGCCTCTCACGTGTGGGTCTGACTCTCACGTGTGGTGCAGGTTGGAACGCCGTGGTCATGAGGCTTGCAGGGGGCAGGTCCCCCAGCAGCAGGGCCGCAGAACCGGCTGCTGCTCCAACACAGCGGTGCTCAGGGATATTCCTGACTCCCACAGGGAACAGCCTAGAGCTGGGCTCACGGACAAATGGGCGTTGGTTTACAGGCAGCCGATTTTTCCAGAGGTCAAACAGATAAAGCCAGCTACCATACCTATATTCCACAGTGCCTTCACAAGTCTGTCTAAAAAGCCCAGTTTTGTCTACGCTGTGTAAGCACTGGGTGCGTGAAAGTGCCAGTAGCTGACCCTGACTGATCGATGAGAGCGGCAGTTTCGTAATCTAATAAGATCCTTCTAGACGTGCATCTGGCTCTGCTTCGTGAGGACAACACAGCGTTCTGTGCTAACAGCTTCACAGAGCTTCGGCCTACAGAACAAATGCTCAGAGCAGTCTTCGCCCAGTCTTATTTTATCTTCACAATCCTGTACACTGAAGAAGACGCACACACAAAAAATGACAAGCTTTTCCACCTCCTAAAAGTCAGAGACGAACCTCGCATTCGGGGCCTTTGTTCTCTCTCCAAAGGCTCCTGTGAATTCAACTCCCTAGAACAGCCAGCCCATCAACCACCCCACCAACCAAGCCACCAAGCCACCAAGCCACCAGCCTGTCCTAACTGATCAAGGATGGCATGAACACAGCTCTCTAGTCTTTATCTTCATTGTTTAATTCCCTCCCAGTGCTAACGACTATGAACCACTATCCCGTGAATAAACCCATTTAGGTCTCCTAACGCCAGCTGCAAGGAGGAAATTAAAGCAAATGGAAAACCAGGCGCTGCCGCAGTTGCAGTGTGGTACCAGGAGCCCAGAGACGCTCATCCATTAACCAAACAGCAGCACTTTCAGAGCCAGCGGGAGCCAGGGGCTCCCTGCTGAGAAACAGAAATTAACTTTGCGAGGAGATAATTTGTCTTTAGATGGTTGTCATATTCAGAAAAGCTCTCTGGGTGAGGTGGGTGGGAAGAGAGGGAGCAGAGCTCCTGACAACACAGCCACACAGAAAACCAAAGCTTACCAGGGAGCCAGGTGGCACGGAGGACTGATGCTCTGTCCTGCTCCCTCTGGGGCACGGCCTTGCAGCACAGCAGGAGCTGCAACGCCACTTGCGTCCATGGGCTGCTCAGGAAAACTGCCATCACACAGGAAGCAGTCGTAGACTGAACTCAGCCGAAAACACAACGATGAGGCAAAACCACACTGGGCAGGGTTTTTGCAAGGTTTAGTCGGGGAAGAGTCTAGTGCCCCGAGGGTGTTAACGGCACCAAAGGGACCTGCTGGAGTGGAAGGGTGTCCCAAAGGAAGTGGCCGGAGCAACAAGGCACAACACGGTGCCATTTACCGTTTAAAACCAATGAGGTTTTACAGGTGCCGACACCTGTGACACTGCTTTACTATTCTGTTATTTTTTTAAAGATTTACTTATACATTTGGAAGGCAGAATCATAGAGAGAAAAGAGAGGTACACACACACACACACACACACACACACAGATCCTCCATCCACCAGCTCACTCCCAAAATGACCACAAACCAGGACACCAGGAGCCCCACCCGGGTCTCCCACATTAGGTGGCGGAGGCTCAAGCACCTAGGCCATCTTCTGTATTAGCAGGCGGCTGGATCAGAAGTGGAGCAACCAAGACTTGAACTGGTATCAACCTACTACGCCAAATTATTCGGACTAATTTGAAAGCAATTTACTATCATAGGTGTGGGATTAATTGCCATTGGTTTCAAAGTAGAGGAAAACTCTCTAATGGTTGTGGCCTGAACAGAACACATTTTAATATTAGAATCGACAAGTTCTGAGCATCTGCACTAGGGTAGGATCCCGCACTCAACTTTGGTTGTCTTCTTTAGAGCCACATGGCAAATATAATTAGGTCAGTCTAGTCCCAGGGTCCTGAGGCAATCGGCCAGGTGGAGCAGACAGGTGTGTTCTTTTTAAAGCTGCTCTATTTCCCCACTGCTTTCCTGGCTGCAGCTAAGAACCTATCAAGCAAGGAAGTTGAAGCAAGAGGCACCAGGAAGCCCGCAGGTGCAGAATGGGTGCGGCTTTGTGGCTTTCATATGGGCTTCCTTAATTGGCCACACCCTAATCACAGTTATCCCTGTCCACATGAGATGCTATCTGCGAGGCACCACGAGAAAGAGGTGTGGCGGAGGATAGATTCACTCATCTATGTATGTCGCAGGCTTTGTCTGAGCACCAGGTGCACGTCAGCAACCCCACCGTGAGCAGCACGGAGAGTGTGAAGACAGACTCCCTACAGCCAAGGAGTTCAGACCGCGGGTCCCAGAGAAGGAAGCAAGCGGCTAGGAAAGAGATGCCATCACACTGTTCAGCAATGGCAGTGCCAGGAATTGGGCCTCAGCAGTGCGTCCCAGACACGTAACCTTCGTGATGCCGTCACAACCCACTGAAGACACACGTTAACACTTTCTCAATTACACCAATCAATCGATCGATTAAAAGTTAGTCCGTACGGAGCAGACAGTCCTTGGTATGCATCACTCATGGAATCCCCAGAGTGGGGCCGTAAGTAAGGGCTGAGGTGGTTTCAGTTCCATTTTAGGGTCAGGAAACCCAGGAAAGATGGAGGGCATTTAGGGTTAGATAGCTAGTCTGGGATCCAACCCCATGTCTACTTCCAAAGCCACGCCTTTTCACTTCATGGGCCGGTTTTGTTTGTTTGGTTCAGATTTATTTGATCTGTTTGAAAGGCAGAGTTGTAGAGAGAGAGGGAAAGAAATAGAGAAGGATTTTTTCCCATCTGCTGGCTCACTCCTCAAAGGGCAACAATGGCAGGGGCTGGGCCAGGCTGACGCCAGGAGCCTGGAACTCCACCCACTTCTCCCACACCCGCTTTCCCAGGCGCATCAGCAGTGAGCTGGCTTGCAAGTGGGACAACTGGGACTTGAATTATATAGGATGGGGGCTTAACCCAATGTGCCCCCAGTGCTGGCCCCAGCTGCTTAAAATTAATATTCATGTAGAATTCCACGTTACAAGGTGCTTCTGCATGTCCCAGATCGTCTAGTCTTTCTGACAGTGCTGTGAAGCGAAGAGCTCCGGTCACAGGTGAGGAAAGCAAGGGCAGATGGGTGAAGCCCGGGCCTGTTTGCACAGCTAGTGTGTGACAAAGCTGAAGGCCATCCTCAGGTGCCAAGTCTAAATCAACACTTTGTCCTATTAAAGTCTGCATACATGGGTAAAACCATTGTAGAGGATTGCTCCAGTTACTTAACAGCTGTCCACCAACTTGCCTGAGGGCAAATGGGAATGGAGGGCTGTCTACTCTGGTGGACGGATGGAACATGGAGAGCTGGCTCACTGTCTATTCTATCAGGAGTGGCTTCTAGACTCTTCCCAAAGGAAAAGGTGCATGGTGGGATTTTCAAATCATTAATTGTATGACATTAGCACTGCTATATCCGAATGTGGACACCTAGGGGAGAGAACATGATTTGGACATTTGAATGATCCTAGGACCCTTGGATGGAAAGCCACAAACCCCCAAATGCAGTTACGCTGGTATCCTGAGAACTGAGATTAAAGACTGAATCCTGCCTGCTTGATGAGTGAGAAACATGGAAAGAGGTGAGGATATGTCTTCTTTTCATAGCATTTTTTTTTTTAAAAAAAAACTTTAACTATTTGAAAGGCAGAGTGACAGAGAAAGAAAGAAAAAGATATTCCATCGGCTGGTTTACTCCCCAAGTGGCTGCAATGGTGGGAGCTGTCCCAGGCTGAGGCCAGGAGCCTGGAAATCCATCCCAGTCTCCCACGTGAGTGGCAGGGGTCCAAGTACCTGGGCCATCATCCAAGGCACATCAGCAGGGAACTGGATTGGAAGCAGAGCAGCTGGGACTCCCGTATACATTTAATCTGCTGTGCAACAAGGCCAGCCCCATTTTCGTATCTTTTTATGAGAAATTTTTTAGGGTACCTGGCTGTTGTGGAGAGGAGCACTGGAAACTTGTGGGAGGAACTATGTTGCCTTTTTTGCTCCAGATTACTAGATCATTCCAGGAAGGCTGGTGGTGCAGGGCGGTTGAGAGAGGAACAGAAAGTAGCAGAGGTACACTCCACTGAAGGCCATACAGGATGGACAACCGTCCACTACTCTGCTAGGTGAAGTGGCAGATTTGGCAGCGCCTTTGGACTAGGAGGGGACCCACCGTCAATCCTGTCAACACCCAGAGGGCAGCGCTGCATCCCCGATGCCTGGGGAGAATCTTAAGAAGCAGGGCGAGGCCGGTGCCGCAGCTCACTAGGCTAATCCTCCGCCTTGCAGAGCTGGCACACCAGGTTCTAGTCCCGGTCGGGGCGCCGGATTCTGTCCCGGTTGCCCCTCTTCCAGGCCAGCTCTCTGCTGTGGCCAGGGAGTGCAGTGGAGGATGGCCCAAGTGCTTGGGCCCTGCACCCCATGGGAGACCAGGAGAAGCACCTGGCTCCTGCCATCGGATCAGCGCGGTGCACCTGCCACGGCGGCCATTGGAGGGTGAACCAGCGGCAAAAAGGGAAGACCTTTCTCTCTGTCTCTCTCACTGTCCACTCTGCCTGCAAAAAAAAAAAAAAAAAAAAAAAGAAGCAGGGAGAACACACTGCCCAAGTCTCCAGCTGCCAGTCCGGACCATACAGCCTCTTCCTTCTTTAATTAATGCCAACAGACAAGTTCTTTTTTTTTTTTTTTTTAATTGGTTTCTGTGGTCTAAGGAAAAGGGATGGTGAAGGGGAAGACATGGGAGCCGAAGACATGGCTGAGAGGGACTGTTTGAAGGGAGGTGGTGTGGAAGCTAAGAGGGCTCCAAGGTTTAAAGTGCCGTGGGGTCCCACAGGCCTCTCGGTTCTGCTGATGGCTGCTCTCGCGTTTGAGAAATAAAATAGCTGCTGAGTGGATTAGAGGAGTGAACTGAATTCCCGAAGCCCCGACTGCCTTTCTCTGTGCCAGTTTTTATCAGCGATGATCAGTGAGACTGTCAGATCTGATGGGAACGTCTCTGCTAGTGTTCTCCGTGGAGCACCGTGGCTGTGAAGTGCAGGACGAGATGGCGTGGGTGCGCG